GTAGAATAAGAGAATGCCTCGGGGACTGGGTCAACCAAAGCGTTTCAGTTTGACCAAACAACGTTTCGTATGTCTGTTTGATTATTGCAGATCCTGCACTAAAACTGGCTAATACCGACATGCAAGATGGGCAGAATGTGCTTAACAAAGAGAATAACATTATACAATATACATGCTAAAGTTTAACAATAATAATTGTTGACACCTCTGAGCAAGACAGGATCATATAGGATGGGATCGATACTAAAATAAACTGCTAAAACCGAATGTATTAGAATAAATGAGATATGATTTTAAAATAATGCAAAATGGTTTTGCAATAATTTCATAAGTATGGATAGAAATCCAATGAAGGCGATGCCGTTAAAGTGTTGGTCAGCGAGACCTTGTGGAGCATACCTGGTCCCGTATCATCTGCCATAGTATTCGTGATTTTTAGAATTGAAACATTGACAAGGTAAATTCCCAAACGTTTCCCCTGCATCGTCAGTGAGAGACGACATCATTAGGACAGAGTTGAAACTTGTCACCTTGATGAGTTATAACTCTGTGCTTATGATGTCGCGTCTCACTGATGATGCTGACTAGGATGCCACCGAAATGTTTGTGAATGCACACAACCAATAGTTCAATACTGTAAATCACGAATAATATGGCAGAGGACACGGGACTATGTGGATTCTACGTCTCCCTGACGCTCCCACAAAGTTGCGAAAACAAGGTCGAACCAACACTGTAAGGCTTAAGGAGACTGCGACCAAACAGGTCACATCACCTTGTTTTTCCTATCTTCGATGCCATTAAAATTCACTTGGGAAAGTCACGACGCAAAACCTATTTTGGCGTTGACACATTTTATTTTTAAAAAGGCAATGTGCAGTCTGGAATAAGTCAGGAAATAACTGCAGATATTCATTCTGTCGGGTCCAAATCATAATGGAAATTGTCAGATTCGCCTCATAGTGAATAAGGGTTGATTGTTCAAGTTATGTATATTATAATAGCATACTACTTAATTACTATAGTTAGTAGACAATAGTTGTCAACAAATAAATTGCAGTGCCATGCCTTGTTTAACGATGCATCTAATTCTGATTGCATTAAATTTTTACCGATAATTAAACCATTCTATAATTTCATTTTGCCACAGCAACCTTAGCCATGCCTTTGTGCGGTGAGGTAAAGCAAACAGTGATGATCGGCTGTCCACCACGAGCTGACTGAACAAACTAGCTCCCAAGATGAGCGTCTGATTGAGATTTAGTCAAGTCAATCTCTTAAATTCACCATAATCTATGACGTATTACAGGCAGTTTGCAGAGAATATGCGTAAAATTTAACGGCGAAACTGACCAATTTAATCAGCTCGGTGGCTGGCAGGCAGGCTTGAGCACGAGAAGGTGCTTTCCCTCTTAGCATCCTTCGAGACTATCAGTAGCCCTTGGTTATTGACTGGTGGTTGAATCGTCGTCGTCTCATTGTGCAAACGACTCGACTGTCATGCCTTACACGACCACAAGCGGCCAAAGCTGATTAAGTTGGTAGTCACGATCAGATTTCCCAAAATAGCCAACTCCTTCCGACCACCGCAAGAGCCTGGCCTACATACAAAGTGGCGTCATCTCTTCACAGAATGCTACTTCTGCAGCATCAAGTGCAACCGAAATGGGGACGGAGCCTGAAATGCCTGAATCTCGGTGTCTCCTGACAGAGCTTGAGGATGAGGTGAAGTCTCAAGTCGGCCTAATCAAAATCGAGGGAAATTTAATAATCTGGTTAAAGGCTCAAGCATGTAGGTTCCTTTTCAGACCATCGCCTCAAGTGGAAACCGTGGCAAGTTTTCAGCCAGCGTAGACAATTTTTATCTGGTCTCTACCGAAAGGGGAAAGTTGCGTCTGGTCTCATGTGGTCAGACGAATTCTTATAACCTCACAATTTTTGACAATTTATGCTCGCAGCTCGAGTAGTTCGCAGCAAGACCTCAGGCTTATGTCAAGTCAAGAAAAGGCTTTCTCTGCAACCGGAGCAGGAGGGCGTCACTAGAGACGCACTCGTGGTAGCAAAGCAAAAGTTCTTGATGAAGATGACATGACAGTTTCGCAATCTACTCACTCGATATGCAGTACAAGCGTCGGTTTAATGGCTCTTTTTGCCATGCGTCCATTTGAAAGTGTGAATTGTGATAGGCCGGGCTCAGTTTAGCGTGTGACTGCGTCGCTTGACACACAAGATCCGTCTTCGTATCCCGTCAAGTGTCGAAATTAAGGTTGAGTTGTCTGTTTTGAGGCAAGAGGGAGTAAAAAATCGGATGAAAACTGCTAGGCTTTTTAGGCAGTTCACTGTAAGAAATGTCAAAGTTATCTCGTTCCAGCATCGTAAACGATCTGTACCATCATGACCCCGTCAACAGTTTCGGATGGCTTGCAATTTGGTACCATGTACAGCAGATCGAAGTGCGTCTGTCGTCATCTTGCGATGAGTTCCTCCAACTAACGTACAGTCAACCCAAAACTGCCGGAATCCGTGGACCGATGGAAGCAGAAGTGCGATCCTTTTGGCTGCCCACGACACAATCTAAAGCAAATCTGGGCGTCTCGACTTTGCATTTCGAAGAAAAAGTGCGTCCTACCGGAAAGTGAAGAAAGCTTGCCAAGCAAAGTTGGCTTTCGAGCAATCTCTATCTTTCTCATTGTTAAGCACACTTTCCTTTCGAGTGGAAGTGTCCGGTGAAGAGAGCCGGAGGTGGATCCCGCCAGAAGACGACGGTGGATTCCTTTTTGTCAGGCGTTGATTTGCTTTACTGCAACATTCCTGATGCCGCTGTCTGTGAGGCAATCTTCTTTGATTCCGGCGAAAACGTGCTAAGCTTTCGTCCGTCATCATCAGAGCGGGCAATCCTCCTTACATCGTAGATACGAAGAATGACTGGGTTTCGATTAATCTCTCACATAATATTGTTGAAGATGGTCTTAACGTCACTCACACTCGTCCAACATGTGGATTAAGCTCGTCAGCCAAATCAGATGTACGAGATTGCGCAATTCCATGTCATGTCTTCCTTGGGTCATTGAACCTTAATGACACCACATGGACAGGTTATGACTTGCTCGCGTGCAAGCTTACATGTCACTATCTTGACAAGACATACTTACGGACTTACGCTGTCTCGGTCGTGGTTTTTCTTGGCTCGTTAAGCCTCGCTGATCTGAGCTGACATTGGGCTTTTTGATCATTCTGATTTAGGACTGGCATTGCGTATGTAAGTTAACACACACACACTCTCTCGAGTAAGATTACCATGGCCAATAGTGAAGATAATCAGATATATGAGATGTGTTCACCATATTTCGTTTTAGTTGATGAAGGACTAGTTGTTGAATGTCTCCAAAACCATTTCCATTCAATTTCCCACAGCCTTGTTTCCCACTACGCCACATTTCCACAAGTTCCATTGAGGAACGGGCAGATGTGAATTTCAAGGAAGGCCACGCATTTTGCCATATCAAATTCTGTGGTGCGATTGCCAATGAAACAAAGTTGAATTTGCCATAACAATAGACTACATTACTCATTTTTCGTTTTATAATTAGCTTTTCGAGGCTACCAGTAAATAATACTTCTGATAAATATGATTTACTGGCAGTCTCGAGACAAATTTATAAAACCATAAAATAAAGATCTATACCTACACACTTACTTTTTATTGTTATGAGTATGAGCTAGAGCCGGGCGGTCTTCTTGATTTGGTACTTGTTGACTTTAGACTTTTACAAAAATAAGTCTTAGCTTTGATGAGGTCCACCGAATGATGGACGAAAGCTCAGCCCATTTCGCCCGAAACGCTGGAAGATGTCTCGTGGACTGCGTCAACCTGAACGTCTTATTAGAGCCAAACGTGTGTGGCCGTCATCTTCTGTCGGGATCGACCTTCGATTATCTTCATCAGACACACATCCCCACACGAAATGATAGCCTCCTCCACATCATCTTCGCAACCATATTCGAGCAAACGAGTCAAGAAAACTCACCAGATTATTCCAAAATGCTGTACATCAAACAATCTCACTCGGTATGAAAATGAAAAAGGCATGTCTGGAAGTGCGGACTGTTGTTGGGCTGAGCTTTCGCCTCTATCTCCGTGGCAGACATCGTCATACCGAGGGAGTATACTTTACGAAAAATTGCACCAATACGCAAAACCAAGAGAAAAGGTGTCCGGCCACAAGCATACTCACTTGTTACGCTTAATTTTGTCATCTTCATAAAACATCCCATGATTGAGTTGGCTGTTTCACACTTAATCCACACACTTGCAGATGCGTAAAGTTGACTAATGAAAAGGAGGTGGATGTCGTCACAAAAATCAGCCTATGATTCTGTAAGATTGATGCATCTTGTGGAATTTGATATTGACTCGTTAGCTTGAATTTGGTTGTGACGATGATACCTTGCTCTGATGCTGTTCGTCATATGATCGGAATCGAAGGACATCTCCTCGGAAACATTGTCACCACGAATGCTCCAATAAAGCCAATCGACAGTTGGTCAAGCGAAATCCGCCGTCGTCTTCTGGTGGAATCCAACTTCGAATCTCTTCCTCAATCAGTTTTACTCGAAATGGAAGTAATCTCATCAATTATGAAGCAAGAGACTGATTGAAATCCAACTTTTATTTGCATATTTATTATCTACCCGAGTTGTGTGTGTGTGTGTATGTGTATTGAGAGCTCTAGCCAGATTCGAGGCTATTCCAGCCTCCTCCTCTTATACTCTATCTCTCTTTACCCCCCCCCCTAAGCCTCTCATAAACAATACATATTTCATATGTATGAGATGTATTCAACCTATTTAGTCAAGAGTAATAAGGGGACTGGTAATTGAATTTTTCCCACACTTACATGAGTAGACATTACCTTTCTATCAAATTTCCCAAAGCGTTGCTTTCTCATAAAGATATTTTCATCCATTTCTAGCCAGTTCTTCATTCAGTTGAGAATTTTGGAAGCAGACACCTTTACAGACGGTGTATATGTTTCGATAACATCTCGACCAAAAGCATCAGCACAAGCGGATTAAAACCTCATGGCAACCAGATTTGGAAATAGGGTCCAAAAATTCTCGACGAGCAGGCATGCCGGACAAAAGTGGTAGCCCCCTCGGTCACACTGTTCTGATGTTCCACCCACCTTTTCCATGGCCGACCAGATGACAGCATCAAGAAACGAGTAAAGTGGTCTATCCGATTATCACGTTGAAAATTACACTCTCCCTTCATAGCATTGATGAGAAGTGAAATGTAATTATTTATTTCGTATAAATGAATACCGAAATGGTATGGCTCTTGGTTTGGTCGCCGTCTCCTTCAGCTGGACAGTTTTGGTTTGACCTCGTTTGCTCAACTTGGTCGGAGTGACAGTGAGACCTGGTGAAAGTAACCCAGTCCTGCGTACTCTGCACTATCCTGGCCATTATCGCCAATTAATTGGTGATAATTAATTAATAATTTGCAATTAAATGCATTGGAAATTATCCATTATTCTACTATTGGAATAGAT